ATTCTCTTTATAATTCCCATAAACAAAACTAATACCCTGACAAATGACTGAATGATTTCGATTCGCATTCTCGCATAAAATCATTAATGAAACTCTCTACCACCAGTAAATCTTCGAAAACAAGCAAGTTCAGACAGTTTATTTTTTCATTCTATAAAATTGAAATTTCTGTTTACGGTTCAGGAATTTTTATTTGGTCATTGTTTTTGTATTTTGTTTTTCTTGTAGTTTGTTTTAGTTAATAACAATTTTAGTATAAAAGCTCGTTTGGCTGACTAAAATCGTATCATTCGTGCATTTGACTCGATTCGATTAATTTAAATATTTATCTTCTGTGGTTTTGGTATTTAATCCTCTTCGCTGTTCCGAACCAAATCTAAAAGAAAATGAAACTCATATTTGTTGTGTTCGGTTTAATGGTGGCCGGTATTGTATCTGCCAAGGATGTCGAAGTGATTTCAAACGAAGCCATTGTGGAACATGATGGCAAATATCATTACCATTAAGCATTATAAAAAAAAAAAAAAAAATAAAAAAATTCCCTAAATAAAAAAATGAAATATAAATTTAAATAATATAGTGGAACATAAATCAACAAGAACAAAAATGCCAAATAAATTACACCCACCAACTCTTAAAGTGCTAAAAGCATGAAAGTTAACAAAATACTCTTATCCATAAATGAAAAAAAAACAATGCTGTGATGATGATCAGATCCTCTTAATATTATATTAACAAAAACTTAAAATAGAAAACTTGCGGTCACATAAATAAAAAATATGGCGAATATTTGCAATATAAAATAATAATATCAATAATCAGGAAGTCGAATTTATTTTGGAAATTCCAAAAAAAAAACACGAAGTGAAAATTTATGTGAAAATATGACAGAATATTTTTGGCAAAAAAATATGAACACTATGTGCTAATTGTGTTTTTCTGAGAAATAAAAATACGTATATATATCAAGGTCAATTTGTAAATCTATAGTAGTGAAAGCATTGATAATGGTATTTTTGGTAATAATGAACCTATTTTTATGCAGGAGGTGCGCCTACCGATTTTAAATTGAAGTAAACGGTGAAGTAAAAATATCTAAAATCCGTTTAAATCATATGACTGGACGAACTTTAATATATAATATATTAGGGAATCATATACAAATTTTAAAACAAACCTGCAAAATATCGTACCCATTGCACTGTCGTTGTGTTTTTCGTTCGGGAGGGCCGAATCTTTTACACCCTCCACCATGAGCTGGGCATTTGAAGTACCTGTAATCGTTAGGTATCTTTATACATACCGTGGTCTGTACCATGGTAATTTGTTGGTAGGAATATTTGACACACTATTAGAACGTAATTACAGCCAATTCGCATTAAAAACGGGCTCAAAATCCTCAATATACAATTAAAATGGGGGCTAGCGTAAAAAATGTTTCAATATTGATAAATTTTTGTAGAAAGGTTTGTTACAGTATTTGAATCCAAATTAAATAAAAAATATGGTACAACTCCCCAAAATATCGGAGCTGCTTTAAAGTGGATGAATATTGATAACTATACCCTTCACCACACTGTGGTATAGGGTGTTATGTTTGTAACAGGCAAAAGGAATCGAGATAGACCCACGGTTCCTTTTGATAATATGCATAGAATAACTTTCTGAGTCGATTTATGCAAGTCCGTCAGTACAAAGTAAAGGTCGATATTATGATCCGAGTTGGATGAAATTTGGTACAGGTCACTTATTTGGCCTAAGGAGAAAATCGGTTAAGATTTAGATAAATTTCGCATATATGTATATATATATATTCGTCCGATTTAATGTAAATGGTGCACCAAACATCCAATATTTGTCCAATTGAGACAAAATTTTGTACAGCGTACTGAATTGTTGATCTCGTTTCTTATTTAGATATAGCTCCCATATTTATTTTCGTCCGATTTTATGTGAAAGGTGCACCAAACTCTTAATCATTGTCCGATTGAGACCAAAACTTTGGACAGCATTTCGAAATTGGGGCAGGTTGTCGCACGTGAATTGTTGCTGAAATCGGTTCAGATTTAGATATATCTCCCATATGTAAAAAATGGTGTACCAAACTGCCAATCTTTGTCCGATTGAGACAAAATTTTGCACTTTGTAATGAATTAGGTCCTGATTCATGTATGTAAATTTTTTTGAATCGGTTAAGATTTAAATATACGATAATTGAACCACTCTATATTTTCGTCTGAGTTCATACAAGTTTTGCACCAAATAATAGGCTTTTTTCAGATCGAGATAAATTTTGGACTGCGCACTGTACTGTAACGTACCAAATGATTGTACAAATACGTCCCATACGTCAAATATCTCCCATATATATTGCTCGATTTTTTACAAATTGTACAAGTCTTCCGATTGAAGTGCATTTTTTATATGTTTAGAAATGGTATGTGTATGAGTTGTTCTAAATTAGTTCAATTATCTATGTAGTTTACACATTTAATTTCGTCCGATTTCAATTCAATGGTCCTCCAAAAATGCAATGAGCAACTCTTGTATGTACCCAAAGTGGTGAAGGGTATCATATCCTTACTGGTTTTTGATAGGAAGACGTGCCACATAATGAAAACACATAATACTGACTTACAGCCAATTCGGTTTAAAAACGTACCAAATATCCCAAAAAATTCCGAATTTGTGGAAGTACCGTTGTATTAGTCGGTTATTTTGAATGTGCTTTAAGTCCATTTTAAATTCCAATACAAATCTTGTTTTTATTTGGTTGTTTGTGATCGTATATTACATTTTTTATTAAAGATTTATTAAAATTACCTCGTCAGAGTTGCATATGTTTTGACCCAGCTAATATCGTGTTATCCATTTTAGCAACAAATTTTACAGCAAAATACCAAAAATGTCAGGGTAAATTTACAAAATGTATTATTTTTAAACTTTAAATAAACAGATTACTACATAAAGTCAATTTCAGTTGCATATTTTTTGACCACAACTGTATAAGCAATTTCAGTCAAAGGGGATACGATGATTTGACACATACATTCAAATACAGTATGGAAGAGCATGTGTTGTGCTTGAATCTATCTAACCAATCTCCATTTCCTAGTTTAATGTATTTTTGTATGGGTTCCACGGCTCTACGTTATTTATGGTGTTGGGTCAAAATATTCTGCATTTGATCCTGAAGCATCTGTTTATAACTTTGCTTGTAACTTTTGCGTGGTGGTGTCAGAAACAAGCCAGGTTTTACAGCCGTATTGAATGTATACATGCTTCGAATATTTGAAACTTATGTATATATGTGAGCTGCTGCATTCAACTTGCAGTCGTCAGAATGCTTTTATTATCATCTTGTTGTTACAGTGGTTTCTAGCTAGCAGAATCTATCAACGTATTCAATTGCTAGGCCTTCTAGCATAATGTTTACATACTGATGTTGTCAATTTTCACGGCCTTAGTTTTCTTCATACTAATGAAATGTCCAACATTGCGAGCGAGTCTCTAGAAGTTTTCTAATTATAACTGCATGTTGGGTGAGAGAGAAGACAGATATCATCCGCATAATAAAGTTTTTCGAGTTCTGCATCGGATTATTTTTTGGCGTATTCCCTTTTTGCTGAACACTACTCATATGGTTTAGAAAGCTTTCTCGAAATGGATGAATAGTAAATACAGAGGTCTGCTCATTATTTTATGACAGATATTTTTGTGATAAAAACTAGTTTGTACTTCTCAAACCATCCATTCGATATTTGCCGAATATTTCCACAGAGGTGGCTATAATTTGTAAAATTCGGGCTTTTAGAAGCTGTCATACATTTAAACAAAATATTTTCTAAATATAGCCTTTGAAGTGACTGTAATTTGGCACCCTGTGTCTCATTTTGGATTTTTTGAAGGTTTCAGTCGCAGTTTCCTATTAAAGTGGCTGGAATTAGGTATTTCAGGTTTTTAAGGGTGAAGACCATTTTCGCAGATCAATTACGAATCAATTTCAAGCCTCGACACAGCCCCATATATAGAATCGGTGACTGTAATATAGGATTCCGGGACACGTATATATTCAGGAAATGTTCATATAGGTCCATGGACACAATATTCCCAGGAGCCGCCATGATCTTGGTGACCAGTTGATATAGCTTAAACAAGATATTCCTCGAGTGGAACCGTCTTGTTGAAAGCACATATTCTCCAAGTCGTGTTCTTCAATAGCACGCAAACTGCTTTATAGTCATATGATAATAAAGCTCCGAATTGACGATGACAGTCTTTTCATGGTCGTTTTGGAAGAAGTAAGGTCTAATCAAACCATCTGACCAAAGTAGCTTTCTGAGTGTAATGACCTCTCTTCAATTAGTCGAGGATTCTCAAAACCCCATATACGACAATTTTGTTTATTAAAACACCCACCGAGTGAGAAATGTGCTTCATCGTTGAAAAAAAAAGGTTGTTCGACATGTGGGTATGGAAAAATCGTGATTTTTGTAATTGTGACGTCAATGTCAGACTTTAAACTGAATACTTTTGAAATGATGAAATCGATAAACCTTTATATATATGTTCTATCTGATCTCGAAGTAATAAATAATACAAATATCTTTCATAAATGTTTTGCTTATTTACGTAAAACATTCAGCACCATTCTACTAATTTATTTTATTTTAGTCTCTTTTATATGTATAACAAGTTCAATGTTATTGTGTTATTTTCAGTATGCACTAGAACTGAAACCATATAAAATTAATTTATCTTTTATATAAGAATATATTTTAAATATTTTCTGATCAGACCATTAACACAAACTAGATAATCCAGCAAAATCTTGTTCTAAAGTAAAATTTTAAATTTATATAAAATGTTTTCTTAATTGGCATTAACTAATAACGTCATTAACAATTCTACTAATACGCTAACAAGCGAAACATTTTGTATCGAATTAGTGCTATATTTTCTCACCTCAACTCTTCTCTTCCTTCTCTATTTTTTTGCAGTTACGAATTGGGAGATGGCTCGAAAGCAACTCAAGATGGCATCTTGAAACATGTCGATGACAATCATGAAGGTGAGGCCATTCAGGGAAGATTTGCCTTCATTTCCGATGATGGCGAAGAATATTCCATTTCATATACCGCCGATGAGAATGGCTATCGTCCAGTTGGTGCTCATTTGCCCACACCACCACCAATTCCAGAATCAGTATTGAAGACATTGAAATATTTGGAAGAACATCCCTACAACCCAGATAAAGAACAAAAGAGATATCGTTAAATGCCGGATACACCCTCACATCAAACCCACCATGTATTTTTAGGCAATAACAAAAAAAAGAACAAAACCAACAAAAATGTGATCTAAAGCGTTATACGACATAATAGTATTGTTGTTCGAGCGAACAGAAAGAAAACAAAACGGTGAAAATCATACAACCATACATACCAATGCACATAATATACTCCATATATACTTACTTACATATCTAAACACATCTATAGAAATATTCGACTGATAATAAACAAAAAAATAAAAATTATTGAAACATTTAAAATGTATTCTTAATTATTCGTCATTTGGTCGTTTGGCTAAGCGGAGCTGACTAGTGGGTTGATCGCTAAGACAAAAGAAATTCATATCGATGTTATGCTTTTATGCAAGACTAACCAAGTCAAGCCGATGGAATGAAGAAGAACTTCATCCAATAATGAAATGACCAAAGTTTATTAACCTGCCGGTAGTTTTTTTTTTTTTTTTTTTTTGCTTTTTGCTCAATAGACCATATCGTTAACTCTTCATTAGTGGTGATATTTGAAAATTTGTTTCATGCCGCCATTAATTCATTTGTTGTTGTTGTTACTGTACTGTCTGAATGTCCACATTATTTTCGTTGGCATTTGAATGAATTTGTTATTCGTGTCATAATTTGATATCATTCGCTATATTAAGTTATTATTATTTCACTTTTTTCATTCACCGTTATTTGTTCTACAGAAAACCAAAACAAATAAATTGAAATAATTAATCGAAAAAATAAATCGAAATGGTATTTAGCTGATCAAAGTCGACTTAGTAATACGTTATTAAATACATATTTGACAATTTTTGGTAGGAATATTTAAAGCCCTAAAACACAAGTGAAAAAAGCGTTTAATTCGACCGTGTCGAACCATACGTATACACCACCATACGTATACACCTAAGTCTGTTTTTACACGGTTTTGATATAACACGGTTTGAAAATTGAATATTTTAAATTTTTTACACGATTTTATTCCATTTAGCACGATTTGAAATTTTATGTACTTAAATTTTTTGTCAAATTTAATTTTTGCGACGTATGTTCATATCACAAAACAGTATTTATGAAAGAAATTGTCTGAAACCATCGATAGTTTGCGAGCACTAGCTTAAAGATTTCAGTGAATTGCGCGTTCAAACAATCTTTACTGGTCAAAGCAAATGTGAATAGCACTAATTTAGGGGAATTCCCTTTTTTACACGACTTCTTCTGGAACCAATCTACTGACATGTACTTGAAATGAAAATATGTATACAAACCGATTTATGTAAACCATAATGTACACCAAATATTAGGTTGTCCCACAAGTTTCTTCCCTTTTTTGGTGCGAAATGAATACAGGATGAACCGTTCTGTTCAATAATATTTTTCCATCTCTCAGGAAGCTTCATTATGCCCTCTTTCCAAAATTTTTGAGGCTTATTTGCAAATTTCAACAAGTTTTAATGGAGATTTTTCCAAAAAAATCCCAAAAAGTGGACCGATATTGACGACGCATGATAGGATGGAACATCCCCAAAATACTACAGTTTAGAGGTCACAGTTATTTGATGCCATCACCAACGTATACAGATTTTATTTCCGGGGGTTGGGTGGAAGCTGCTGGTTCAATATAAACCAGTAAGGGTATCATATAGTCGGACAGTGCCGACTATATCCATAAATCGGTCATTCTGCAAACTATACTAAATTTTCATTTGAACATATATGGAGTCGTTTGTTTACAATTTGATAAAATTATTTAAGGGGACCTCCCCCATTCCCGATTTAAAATTTTCAAGATTTTCATTGGACTGGTAAATGAATACCAATGCATGTTAAGGTTTGTAAATTTACACATATATAATTGAAGATTTAAAACAGAAAAAAATAAGAAGAAAGAAAGGAAAAAAATGAAAATCTATGAAACCAAGTTTGTCTCTACATTTACCGTTATAAAACCAGTAAGGAAAGTAGTAAAGTCGGACAGGGCCAACTTTATGATACCCTTCACCACTTTGGGTGTATTCAACAGGACCATTGATACGTTTCGTGTCAACCGGTGCAACATTTACATAATCTCCAACGAACATACAAATGGGTGCTATATCTAAATCTGAATCGATTTCAACAAAATTATATGTAAATGGTACAAACTTTGGGTCTTTAGTACACACTTTACATAAAATCGAAGGAAAATATATATGTGAGCTATATCTAAATCTGAACCGACTTTCACGAAACTTAGCAAACACCACTCTAGACTCTAGACACTTTGGTAATTTTGCACCCATTTCCATAAAATCGGAGGAAACTATATATGGCAGCTATATCTAAATCAGAGCCGAAACTTAGCGCACTATACGCTATACCAAATTACGTGAAAATCGAAAGATATATAGGGACTTTGGTACTTTTAGTGCACCATTTCCATAAAATCGGAGGAAACTATATATGGGAGCCATATCTAAGTCTGGACAGATTTTCACGAAACTCAACAATCATCATTCTAACTTGAATTGAGTGCGCTATGTCAAATTTCGTGCAAATCGAAATATATGTAGGGAATTTGGTGCACCATTTACATAAAATCGGACGAAACTATATATGGGAGCTATATCTAAATCTGAACCGACTTTCACGAAACTTAACACACATCACTCTAGACTTAATTCAGTTTACATTAAACGGACGAAAATATATATGGGAGCTATAACTAAATCCGAACCGATTTTTCCCTATTTCAAGAGGGCTCGTCCTTGGGCAAAACAAGTGACCTATGCCAACTTCCATCCGAATCGGATCATAAATGCGACCTGTACTTTGTTTACAATTTAACATGGACAGACGGACATACATGCATAAATCGATTTAGAAAGTGATTCTATGCACATGTGTCTATATCGATTCCTTTTGCCTGTTACAAACATATGCACAAAGACATAATACCCTGTACAACAGTGTTGTGAAGGGTATATTTAATTTTCAAAGGGTTATATAGTTAATTTTCAAAGGATATATATGGACTATGTCCGCATTTTTACAAAATTCAATTACGTCATTCTATGCTCAATTTTGTACCTTGTGCAAAATTTCGTGTCAATCTGGAGCACCATTTACTTAATATCTGACGCGAATATATATGGAAGATACATCCAAATCTGAAACGATTTCAACGAAACTTTCCACAGGTTAGGTTATACCAACTTCCGTACTTTTTGTGCTTACCGGCCATGTTTTAGATCCTTACTGCATAATTTACTACAAATCGGAAGAAAAAAAATATATAGGAGCAAAATTATGTTGCAAACCTATGGGAGCTATGTCCAAATCTGAACCGATTTCAACAAAACTTTCCACTCGTTAGATTATACCAACTTCAAAACGTTGTGCAAAATTTTGTTCAAATCGGACTTTCCATTCGCTTAATGCTTAATTTATAAAGATTGAAGTTTGTGACCATTTTTGGGGAGGTACTAGAAGGAGTACCCATTTTCGGACTTGATCTAGGCTTTATAAAGAGAACATGTGCAATGTTTGCTTCAAATCGGACATTCCATTCGCCTGATTTTTGATTAATAAATATTGAAAATTTTGTCCATTAGTGGGGGAGGTACCAGAAGGACTTGATCTAGGTTTGGTAAAGATAATAGATTGTACAAAATTTTGGTTAAAATCGGATAGTTCGTTCGCATGATATTATAACATTATTTATTAGCGCAATTTTTACCATTTTGTGGGGGAGGTACGAGAAGTGTGGTCCGTTATTTTCCATCTTCGAACTTGAACTACGCTAGGAAGACATATTAAGATGTGCATTTGGATGAAATCGATTACTCCCTTCGAGAGTTATCGTGTGCATTAGCCGGCCAGACGGACGGACATTTATGAATCGACTTCAAATTGCCTGAAACGGATTTGGTCCCATAAGATATTGGGTCCAAATCCAATATTTCGATTAGACACATTTTTTCGTATCATTAGCCATAAGGCTGAGTGTATAAACATTTCAAATTCTCATCTTTAAAGTAAATACTCGATATCTCCCCAGTTGCCAATTGTCGAAACATTCAATTTTACTCATAGGGCACCATTTTGTAACAAAATCTAATAATCTAAAACCGCTTGTAGCGTGTCCAATTTCTCAAAAATTATTTTAATTAGTTGTCACAGAAAACCAAAATCCCGTCACTATTTTTTATTACCACTTATTATTAGAACGTGTGCGGCATGCTCGATACAATTAGGTCTCACTTAGCACAAAGTCACAGCAACAACAACAGTGTTGGTGGGAGTGGAATGTTCTTACCACAATTACCGATATAAGGTATCTTCTTATCATAGTTGTGAAATATTTAAATGTGCCGAACGAAACGAAAATAAAAAACAATGCGATCGCCATGAATAAATTATATAATGTTCGGTTCAATTGAATTTTTTTCGTTTCTGTTCTTTTTTTAGTTTGGAATTCGGTACGTGTACTATGGCTAAATACTTGGTATGTTATCAATGTAACGGATTATAACTTGTTTTGCTATCATTCAAATAGGATTTTTATTCAAATTCATTTCGGGGATTGCGAAAAAATAAGGGCAGAATCAGAATAAAACAGAAATTAACGGATGGAAATTTATCATCTTCTTCTGGCGAAGTGACAGCGGTGGGAAATGCCGAACAATTACGGACTTGAACATGATGTTCCACAAGATGTTTGCTGAACAATTAAAAAGAGAACAATTTATGACTAATTTTATTTATAATAAGCGTGTGGTGAATGTTAGATCAATTGGCCCCGCGAGATGAGTGACAGATAAGCGGAGATGGTTTTGAAAGCACATTTTTGGTTACTAAGTAATGTTTTTTCTATTCGAGAATAATCATTTGTATTCGATACTTCGATATATATGGTGATGGCCTCAATTTTTAATATGATAAGCAGAAATTACTCTGATGAATTTGAAGTCCTTAGCAAAACCATGATATTGATTGATATGCA